GAGAGGGAGGGGCAGAAGAGGGGGAGGGAGACAGAGAGACAGAAACTGCTTTTCGATTTACTGACAGGTTATCATGAACTATTTTCATTTTCTATTTTCAAGTAGCTGATTTGTTACATTTAGATTTGTACTGAAAATTATGTTGAAAATATTGTCCTGTGGCCTATTAAATGACTTCAAAATATTCTGTAACTGTGGCCTTCAGAAAGAGATTCTTGCTAAAATTGATTATTATGTTTCCTTCCTTTACAGGCATTTATTAAACACTGAATTTACACTCAGCATGCAAATACACATCTTAATTTATGACCAAGGAATCTTGCTTTAGATTTTTCCTTTTATTTTTCTAGGGAAAAAGAACAACTTTGATTACTATGTAAAATAATGCTTATATGCATTATGCAATATGAAGTCTATTATGATATGTAGGAACCCTTTAAAACAAAACAAATATACTGCCCACACAAAGATACTCATCTGTGTTTCTGTGATTTTTAAAATTGTTGAGTGATCATTTTGTCCACAACTGCTTTGAAACAATCTTTTTTAAAGCTTCTATCATGAGCAGTGTAGCTGCAGATCTATCAAAATCCAAGCAACGTGACTGCCTTTTATTTCATAACCCACTGAAGAGCTCCCTTGTCCCCTAGTGCTTTTGTGCATATGTCTCTTTTACTAGAACAAACATTACCCATCTCCTGGAAAGCTGGGAAACTTGAGACAGCCGCTGCTGTTCCAGAAGGTGGTTTTTGTTTTCCATGATAGATCAATCATAGCTCAGCCAGAAATTCAACAACAAAAACTTGACAGTGATTCTTTCCTTCTGCCTCTGCAAATGCTCCCAGTGCACTTCATTCAGTCACCTCCTCTCGAGGTCAGCTCCTAAGCAGCAGATGGTGGCTTGTGGGCAGCAGCTGGCTTCTTTCCACTCCATCCCCTCCTTCTCCAAGAGGGACTCTGTGCTCGCACCCGGGTGTGTGTCTGCGTGTATGGACACTCGCGACTTTCAGTTGCCGTTCAGTGCTTTCTGCTTCTCCCAGCCAAAAAGCTGGGAAGCACGGCGTACGTTCCAGCAGCCAACCCAGATGTCCAGCTGTGATGCAGTTTCCTTAACAGTCTCCCGGCTGCAGTGACACTCATTCACAACCCAAATGAAAGAGTTATCTTGTAGCCCTCTGTAGTTGTCATACTTTGATGATGTGTTGTGATGGGGGGTAGAAATAGCAAAGAAGCCAGGGGCAACAAGTAAAACCTAAAGCTTTTCCTGTTCTACTTGGACAGGATGTGTTGCTCTTGCACAGAGCTCAAGCCATGTTTATTCTGGGGCAGGCTCCCTCAGCGCATCACTGCCCACAGAGATGTCTCTCTTTCTTTCTTCAGATGAATATGCTAATGAAACTTCAAGAAGCAGCCAATTACTCCGGCACACAAAGCTGCGACAGCGATAGCACCAGCCACCATGAAGACATTTTGGATTCGTCTCTTGAATCGACCCTCTAGAGGGTGAAAACAGCTAGGGGAAAAGATGCTTTTAAAAATGGTTTCTTTTGAAAGGTATTTTCACTACACCACTGCCAGTATGAAAGCACCCTGTCCAAGGCCCTGACCCAGAGTTGTGGTCTCCAAGAAGGCAGCAGAACCAAGTGGGAACTGCCAGGATGCTAAAGCAAAATGGGCGCTTAACTTTATTTTATTTCTAGGCATTTTTATATCCACAGAATAACAGAAGGCTCCATCACTCAACTAACTGGAAAGGACCCTAGTGGTGGGCCACTGAATAGATTGCACAAGGGATAGCCAAACTGGACTTTATTTTCTTGGTTTTAAAAAGTTTACAATGCAGACCTTTTTTTTATTATTATTATTTACTTTTTGTCCCTTTCTTTTGATTCCTCTTCGGGGGTTTCTCCCCAGGCAGGGCCCATTCCTCTGATCTGTCCAACCTCCTTTGTGCCACATGGTGCTGGTCACAGGGCTCCAGTAGTGTTTGTGTTGTGCACTCACCCATTCCAGAATGAAGTCAAGAGGCCCGTCCTCCACAAGCACAAGCAGAGTTGTGCAACAACCAGGAAAGCTGCTGTGGCCCCCTGGAGAAGTGCCAATGAAATTCCGACTGCCATATTCTCATGATGTGCTCCACCAACTTTTCAGTGTACGAGTCACAGGTTTTATAAGGTTGTTTTTACCACAGTGGTCTTTTTAAACCACCTGCCCACTTCCTTAACAAGAGTTTTATACCAATTCTAGGTCAACACTGACAAAAGGCTTTTTAGGGCTTTATTTGTTTGAGCCTTTTCAGTGAACGAAGGAACATTTCCTATGGTGCTGTCTCACTGCCTTAAAACACATTTCTACAACAGTGTAACAGTTGGTTTAAATCCTAAACCATTGGTAATTTCCACTGTCTTTTCATTTAGAACCGAGCAATGCCAGTTAACACAGTAGCTTCATCTCGATATCATTCATTTTTCTTCTTTTAAGAAATGGATAGGAGAAAGATCAGTATTTTGGCCTTGTGAGTAGGTTGCTTTGCCTATCCTCCAAACTATTCCAGTAACCTAGAAACCCTCTTTGACCATCACTTACGAGCAGAAATATGTGGCTAAATTCTAAGTTCTAAGTGAAGAGTTCCAGAAGGTGGGAGATTTTGAATTCTGGTCCAGCAGGGCTGGAAGCACTAGATATAGCATGAGCACAACTATTTGGCTTTCCTTCCCTGTTCTTTGGTTTTTTTTTTTTTTTCATTCATTTTGATGCATGTTGTTTTGATTGCTATTGCTGTACATGAGAAATTCAGCATTAAAGAACATTGAAGCAGTAAAGTCACTGTGGAAGAGGAAGCGTATATACTGTAAAGGAAGGTTAGATTTGCACAGTCTACTGGGTAGGTATTGTAAATAATACTTTTTCAAACTTGCACAAATTGAAACAAACACAAACAAAAATTGTATTTTATCCTGTTGGTGTTAAGAAGTGTTTCACTTGCTGAGATTTCCTGTACGTTGCAAACAAATACAGAATGCAAACCCTCAAAACTGTTATTATCTGTTGTATTTGTCCTGTATTTCCAGTTGTTATGACTATGCAGGAGCTATCAGTGCTAGAGTGAGCATGTTTCGATACTGTACATGAAGCCAATACATTTTTGGATAAGTGAAACTGTCTGAGAGTACATCCGTTGTGGCAGGCTTTAAAAAGAGTGCATGCAAACTGATCGGCCAGTGGAGAAGCTACCACCACACACAGAGCACAGGATTTCAGTTTATAACACCCAAGGGCTAGGCCACGGTGTAGACTTGTTCTATGCATGTGCAAATGTGTGACTTCTAGGACGTGTCATTGGTGCTACCCTCTGTGACCACCCGTGGGTCAGTTGCTTTAGAACAATAACAGCACCATGAGACATCGGTGCAGTTTTTGGAGTGTCACTAAATGTATCGGTCCTTTCACGGTGCTATTGCCCCGAGGGAAATCTGAACTGAATATATGCTCATAGAATTATCACCCTGACTTTGAAGCCTAAAACATGGTTCAAATCTGTTGTGCGACATCAATATGTATAGCTGGATAAGTGACTAGTTGCCCTTGTATAATATGTGATCGAAGAAAACTGCTAATCTTTCCCTGCCATTTTGAGAAACACAGTCCAGACATGAGCATAAACAGAATATCCTGCAATACATCCCAGTAGGTCCACCTAGTTTACAACTTAAACTAGTTTGTGAAGCATTTGTCTGTATACATTTTATATTTTGTACATTTTTGATGTAACATATCATGTAAATAGGCAGAAACAGTGAAATAAATCATCTGAAAAGTTTTGTAGTCTTTGTAAAGCCCTGACAATAAGTACTTGGTGTCAATGGACTCAACTGGATGATGTATTTTCTATTGGTTTATTGTTCCTCTAGCTTGTAAACCAGCTTGCATATATTTTTTTGCAAATGTGCACCCTGTATCTGTCTAAATTATTACTTTACCATTAAAGTGGAATTATTTATTGACAAAAGTGTGTGGTGTGTGTGTATGGGGAAAAATCAGATGGTTATGCATAAAAATGTGACAAGCTTTAAAATGGTACTTATACTATTCATATGCCATCATTAGGGATGTGTGTGAATTTACATTTTATATGCGTCATGGGAAGGATTCCAATGATTTAAGCGGATAAGGTAAATGAAATAGTTATAGCTCTTAATATGAAAGTTATTTATTCAGTGAATATTTTTAGAAAATTCTGAATAGTGCAACTGTCTGCTTGTTGATAAAATAAATAAGAATATAAAACAAAACATCGATGCTCACTAAATAAAACCAGCTCATGAAATGCTTCTTTTTTTTAATGTATTTTAGTACAGGGTCTAAGGGTCTCACTCTGCAGATGGATGACTCCATAGTGATCCTATTGTGCTTAGCCTCCCAAGCACTGGGGTTACAGGCATGTACCACCGCGCCCATTCTTTATCACCAGCTCAGCGTGCTCCAGGGACAGGGCCAGCATGACAGGCCAGGGATCGAACCCCAGCCACTGCGCTCTGCCTAAGCAAACGCTTTAGTCCGCTGAACTATCTGGCTGGCCCTGTTTCTTTATTTTTATTGACTTAACTTCTCTTATGACCCTTTGGTTCTAAAGGTGATTTTCACACAAATTAGTTGTTTCAGTGGTAGTTTATTTTTTATTAGAGGATTTCAAAAATAAAAACAACTCCTTTTAAATTATAATTATTTGCTGGGTGTGGTGCTGTATGACTATAATTCCAACACTAAGGAGGCTGAGGCAGAAAAATTGCTTCAAATTAGGAGCCAACCTATGCTACATAATGAGCTCAAGACCAGCCTGGACTACAAAGCAAGATCCTGTCTCAAAAAATAAAGAAAGAAAAATCATTTTTTTTTCAAAGTAGCGTCAGCATTTCTTTAACCGTGGCTATTGCAATGTCAATTTGCATGATACAAGTAGTTTTTAAATTCTAAAATCAAGAAAATTTAAGAATTAGGACCACTGTAGAATAGAAAAGTATATTAGTTAAAAGGTTCCATCTGCTATAATGAATTATAATTAATATATTTGTTCTTTCACTCAGATTGGAAGATACAGAAAATTTCCGCAATGTATTTTACTTAAATAAACAATACATCAACCCAAAATTTAGAGCTGGTGGTGTGGTTTCATGATGGAGTACTTCCCGAGCATGCTTGAGGCCATGGTTCAGTCTCAGCATGCATAAACACACACACACACACACACACACACACGCACACACACACACCCAGTATCTACTCAGATTTTTGTCCAACTACTGCACTTTTCTAATATATAAAGCAGTTAGAGAGGTGTCACATCTTAAATGCTACACAAGGACTAGCCACTGATATTATTCAACAGTTGTTTACTATATATCTCATCTACTCCAGGCAGTTTTCTTAGGATTCAGAGACATTGAGGTGCAAACACTGGTCCTGCAGGACTTACAGTTGGGAGTAGGATCTCCGTCCTCATACACTTCTTACTTCTCCACAGTAAGGATGGCTAGTCAAAGGTCGAATGAAGGGTCCTGTGAAGAATGTTACAGGCTATTTTCGGACACTGACAGAAGCAATGAGTCTAGCAAATTATGTTTGAATGTGGAGAAATCCAAATACTTTTATTTCACCTCTTGGATTTTCACTTTTTAAAAATATGTTTATAAAGATAGACTAAAAATATTACTATGTCTTTCAGCATAGAAAATATTAGAGAAAGAAATTCCAATTGTGTCTGTTTTGCTTTACTTTTTGCTGGAGCTGGGAGTAATGACTAATACGCAACATACTGCACTACTGAGTTCAGTAATTTTTAGCCTATAAAAGTCATTTGGATAAATAATTATAGGACCTCTTTTCTACATGATTTCTGCATTGTCTGTGTAAGTCTATACTGCCCAGGAGTTCTCAAAGAAAATATATACCAAAAATTAAACGTATCACAAAATAAACTGGAATCATAGAGGACAATGAAATTTCTCAGGTTGCTTTTATGAAATTAGCATTCTCATACCATTGGAATGTTTAATTCTTGACCATTATATTCTCTACGGAGATGGTGGAGTCACAGTTCATGAACAGCTAAGTAATTTTACATTTATTAAATGTTAAAATACTAATGTACTCAAAATATTGCATTATATTAGCAATAGTAATTTTATTTCTTTAATGTGGCTACTAGAAAAATTTGTGATAAATAAGTTGCTTATTTTTGTGGCTCCTTTGATACTGTTATTTCTGTAGGATTACACTACTATAGAAAGGACTCATCTTTACAAAGTGGCGATGTGACATAGCCATTGTATCATCTGAGTTTTCCAAATAAGATGAGGGAGGTAATCTGACCTTTTGTATCCCTGAAGCTCTCTGTTACCATGTCCACTGCTTCTATTTGGTTTGTGCTCACTATGACAATGGTCTAATAATAGAACACAGAAAGATTTTTTTTTTCTTTTTTGCAGTACCAGGGATCGAACTTGAAACCTTTCACTTGCCGGGTGCTTAAGCCACTGTATCCCTGGCCCCCATAGAAGGAATTATTGAATAAAGAACAACACTAACTTTCCAGAAATATAGCTTGGATAGTGTGCTAAAGTTTGAGTATAATTTTACTGCCTAAAATGAAAACTCAAACACATAGGAAGATAACCTAAAGTTTTATTTCCTACTCAAAACATCTATAGAAAATGTAGTTAAGACAAAGCAGAAAAAATACTTAAATATTTAAATATTCTGAGACTATTTTCAAGTGGGTGGCTAAATAGTTTCCCAGCACAAATATTAAACTCATAACTAATTAAATCATTATTGAATATTTCTTATATTTTATTAGAATTCTGATTTATTCAAAGGAGATCTCAAGCTACATCAAGCAGTAACATTCTGCCAAGACCAGGTTTAGAAAAGTGTTTTTATGTAATTTGTTTTCTTTTACTGCGAGGCTCTTATATATTCTCAAATGCCATTTCATACCAATAATACCTTAGACAAAACCCTCTGATCCTTTAGACTAGGTCAAGAATCCAAATTATTTGCTTTTCTAGACTAGCATACACAGGCAGTGTCCCGTTTATTATACTGCTCCTCAGGCTTAGAATAGTTCACTCTTCCCAAACTTGTATGATGTGTGGAATAAAATTATTTCCTGCATATGTGTGTGTGTGTGTGAGTGTGTGAGTGTGTGAGTGTGTGTGTGAGTGTGTGGTGCTGGAGATAGAACTCATGTCTTTCAGTCCTTCACACTGAGTTATATTACCAACTCATTATTTATTATTATTAATTATTACTATTAAATTGCCCTGGCAAGGTTGGTACTTGCAGTCCTGCCTTAGACTCCCAGAGTCTAAGATTACAGGCATGTGTCACCACACCCAGCAACTGAATACTTCACTGTATGTCCAACAACTTCGTTAGATTTGATGACTACCACTTATAGGCATGGTGCATCCTAGGAAGCCAGACAGCAAATTAGAAAGCTGCACAGTGACCTGGAAAGGATCAGATAACCTGAGGACATGACTCATCCAGTGGAGACAGAACATTGCCTCATACGTAACAATTTTCCCTCCTCCAACTGTAATGTGCTCCATAGTTCCTATCAGGTTTTCTGTTTCTGCTCTTCATGTGTTCTAAGATGTCTTAGTTATATATAGCACAATTTAAATATGTGAGATTTTTTGGGAACAAAGAAATACACCAAGCACTTGCAAATGTAATGCTAGAGTCTAGAAAACAGGTGGCAACTGAAAAGATCCATAACACAAAGCCAGACATGAAGGTATGAATTTCAATTTGGGAAGATTCTCTAAACTAAATTCTTCAACCAAGTAAAGAAGACTCAGAATAGAACTTGCAGGATGTAATGGGGAACTTCAGCCTTCACTTAGTTTTCACTTTTCAGCTTGTTTCATTATTCTTATCTACATTTAATGTGAGATTTATAAAGAAGTATAATGTATCCAGCACCACGTGCTGCAGAAGCCCTGCCCCAGGGCGCACTGAGCCAGCCATCGAGTCCATGAGTAGTGGTGTATGCCTGTAATCCCAGCACTGGGGAGGCTGAGAACAGAAGCATTAGGAGTCCATAGTGTGTAGTGAGATGCTGTATCAAATACATAAAAAAAATTAAAATTAAAGAAAGTATAATGTAAGGGATAACCACTGGATTAGGAATCCAAAAGCCTCTGTCTTGTGATAGATCCTGGGAGAATCAAGGGATCTATTGCCTACATTGGTGAAGATTTTAGCCATCCAGATTTTAGCCATTGCATGGTTGTGAATGTGACATGGCTTAGATGAAGGACAGCTCCCAAACCCGCATGTGTTTCAGACCTGGGCCATTTGGAAGGTGACTGGATCATAGGGAAGTTAGCAGATCGTGACGTTAGAAGGCAGGGAGGGTGTAGCTTCCCCTCTGGCTCTTTCCTTGCTGTCTTCTTTCTGGCTACCATGATTGGGGAAGCCTCTCTTCTGCTGTGCCCATCTTTCTTGAGTCAGCTGGCGATACATTAAAACCTCAAACACTGTGAGTCCAAATAAACTGCTCCTCTTTTAAGTTGCAGATATTAGTTTTTTGTCCCAAGAAGAAGAAGAGGGTAACTGAGAAAATCTTTTCGGTGGTTGTGTTCAGTCCAGGTTGTTTCTGCCCTGATGTGCTGTAGAGAAACAGCTATATAACGTGCAGGATTGTTTTGTACAATGATATTCAAGGGATAGAATTTGAATCAGACTCTCTGTGGACACAGGGAATGTAATGCAAAGGCCATCTGTCAAATGTTGGCAACTCTTTGAAGCTGAATTGCTTATTGTCTGGCCCAGGGGCTTTTCTGCTAAGTTATTTACATTCTCTAATTCAGCCCTTCTTTGGTTTGCTGCGAAGTATAGGACAGGGCAGTAATCTTAGCACTTTCTTTT